CGGATTATATTTTTTGGGGACGACTGCATTAATGCAAAAAACCTAAGGAGTGGCTTTTCAAGACGTCCTTGATTATGTGATTTTGTAGAAACGAGTGAATAAAACGACAAGAAATACCATATCCCTTCAACTTGTGGAGAATAATAGCATATCAAACTCTGTCATACACTTCGAAATATTTTAAGAAAGAACCTCACAGGAATTATATCAAGCTGCTTAGGTTCTTTCAGTAATAATTGCTGTAATGAAAACAGGACAAGCGATTCTGTCTAGTAATCGTTTATTCAATAAAGAATACTACTACTCATCGATATTGAGTCACCCCCCTCCCACGAGGGTGTCATGTGGCACAAGGCCTTTTTAACGTGGGCATTCCCGAGCCATTAGGCTCGGCCAAAAAATAGCCCATTTGAATCTGTATAAACGGGTTCAGGGCCGGTTTTACCTCCCCGAAGGAGACTCCGCCCTTCGGCGTAGCCTCCTTCGGGTTAGAATACTACTACTCATCTGACTTGACAGCGGAAGTATACAGCTTTTATAGCTTGGATTATCTAAGAGAACATAATCCATATTCACAACAATTGCCAACACATCGGCGGTTGCCAACGAACAGGAAGCTTTAATGTTTGTCTGAAATGGACCTTGCGTGGGGAGATGCTTATATAACTTATAATCCTTCCGAACGTCTAGTATTTTGAAAAAGAATGGTTCTGAATGACAAATCAATAGTTCGAATCATTAGATTGTCGCTAAAATTAATAAAAAATAGAACTACAGAGGAAGATTTCCGGAAATTTTTAAAGTAAAAAGCTACAAGTACCGGGAGAGAACAGGGCCATTTTAAGGGGCTCAAATCCCACGGAAAATAGGAGGGATACCATGGTGTTAACATGCTTTGTTTGGATTAATCTTTCAGATGATAGAAGGAGCAATGGGCTGTGATATACGCCTAATATTCAATGGGAACATATTTATATGTGGAAAGTCAGGAAACACATAAATCAAGAGTTATAACTGAAAAGAATTTGCGGTCAAAGCAATTTATGGTGAATAAATGAAAGCACCTTGATAGGAACATTGAAGATTGGCAATTATTTAAGACACTCTTACAGAACCGCCAGTAGTTACAAGAACCAAACTTGTGACAGGTTTTAAGGTTACTTTATTCTCTCAGCGAACAACGATATAGGATATTCGAGGAAATATTTGTTTCAGATGACAGAAAGAGGTGTCTGTTTTTATCAGAGCTATCGTGTTGTTACAGCAAAAAAAAAAAACATGATTCCTGTGAGCTATAGGAAGGTGAAAAGAAAGAAAATGGTTGGCTGTTGTTCTACATCTACAAGAAACCAAAAAAAAAATGGCTTGCTCTCATCTAAGAATTTCCAGGAGCACAATTTTCGGTAACAGGATCTAAGATTTCACATCGAGGGGAATCGTGAAGAATGCTAAAATGATCCCAATCATTATGTTCATTTTCTAATTTACCATAAATTCTATGCTTCGAGTGGCCAATGCTTATATTAACACTCAAAGAGTAACGACACTCGTGGTTAAGAATGCTTAAGTTGCAAAACTATATATATATATATATATATATATATATATATATATATATATATATATATATATATGAAATGGATTTTTATTTATCATCATTTTTTATCACTTTCATCGTGTTTATTTATTAAACACTATATATTTTCAGTTCGCAGCTCAGTTTTCAGACCACGTCTGATTTAAGATATTTGCCCTTGTGGGACGCAGATTGGAATCCTGCCAGTGGGCGTATTTGTTCTTTAATAAGTTTCCGTGAACGTTCAGGCTGGGAGACAAAAATAAATAATAAAAATATACCGTTTAAGAAATAAACGGAGCGACTATTCAAATACGTCTATCCCTAAAAACGCTTAAAGTGATATATACATTATATATATATATATATATATATATATATATATATATATATATATATATATATATATATATGATGCGGGCCCAAAGTCGGGACCACGGAAGGAAAACATGGATTAGAGGTAAGAAAGATAAATTAAACAAAAAGGTTACAAAGATAGGGTAAGTGTAAGCGGAGCGTACTATGTGATAGTGTCCAATATTGGTAGTCGTACGCGGCTGATACTATGGTATTAGAATCCATTCATATTCTTTCTTTCTTTTCTCTTTCTTTCTTTCTCTATCTCTCTCTCTCTCTCTCTCTCTCTCTCTATATATATATATATATATATATATATATATATATATATATATATATATATATATATATTCTGTTTATAAACCTTCAAAAAAGTTTTCTAATAGTTGTCGGAATTAATGTATTTCATTACATGTTGTCGTGTATAGGTTTACCAGACGTTTCGCTGTAGCTGAATTGTTACATCACGTCAGGTCTAATGTCGCTTTCTGTATAAGAATAGAGTTTCGATTCCTGTCGGGGAACGCATAATTTTTACGAATATTTTCGAACATTTTGGCCGCTAAATTTAATTAGTACTGTTTAATTAAAAACCGAATATTTAATTAAATAAATTGTATCCATAAAAATAGCGTAGAAACACAAAATAATTAAAGTAATCATGCGTCTTAATCCATTTCATTATATATAGGTGTGTGTTTGTTTGCGTGTGTGTTTGTGTCACAGGTAAAGTATGGATGCGGAAGAATATTATTTGTAATAATGTCACTGCAATGCTTAAACTTCATGTCCGCAAATAAACAGTTGGTCAAACGTTCGGCTTTTCCCATGACACCGATATAATTTTAACTACATCACTCCTCGCCAATTTTTATTACTTAAAAATCGTTGCTTAAAGAAATTATACATGTTCTTTGTTCTTGAGAATTGAAAAGAAAAATAAGAAATATTATTTGTTTATTAGATTATTTATTTACATTACTTATTGGATTATTTTATAGGAATTGTTGTCAAAACATGGTCTAATTGCCAATCGATTGTTATAATTTAAAATTGTTTCTAATTTAATGAATAAAAATTGTTTTCATAACTATTTCTTTATAGATTGATAAATGATAAATATTGCATTTCATTAGTTTTAATATATTTTCATTAGTTTTAGAATGTTGCAAATAGAAAATTATTCTTGTAAAATTTTTGTTGTATATTCTTACGAAAAATGTTTAAATTCACTTTTATTTTATCTTTCGATATTATCACAATATTAAAAGTCCCTTCTTTGAAACGAAGCGTGAAGGTACTTAAAACAAATGCGATTTCAGGGAACAAAAAACGTCATTTTGAAACACCGATTATCTTAGTTTCAAACTTAACCAACATTTTCAATAGATATAAATGTATTCCTATGATCTTCTCTAAAACTTCTCTCATATATATATACATCAGATTATTCATTATTGTACTTTCCCCCAGTCTCCTGATCTTCTGGCCTATATAACATCTTAAACATTCTTCAGTACAAAACGCTCTTGGTAAATAAAAGACAGTCAGCATCTTAGTATCCAAGAATACATTCCTCTCGATTCTTTAATGCATTAGCCTTCAGAATTTTTTTTAGAAATGTATTCTATGATATAACGCACCGATATTAGAAAATTGTATCTCTTTTGAATATTCTATATTCTCAGTTTTTCATCCTTAGAAATCTTTACCAGTATTCATAAAAGCACATTGTTTCGGCACTGGTTATTGATGAAGAAGATATTTCGTAAATACAATACACAAATGATGTTACCATGGATTCACATTCAATGCTACCCAGAGGCCGAATTAAGGCAAATAACTCAGTCAAAAGAAAGAATATGAATTTAAAAATGTTTAGTAAAAAAGTAATATTATAATAAAATGTATTGGTTTAGATATTATTACAGCTATAGTTATTTGTTAACGGATATTACACCAAAATATATAACATCAATTTAATATGTGTGTCATATATATATATATATATATATATATATATATATATATATATATATATATGACACATTATGAAATGGACAAAGTCAACAAATTATTTTAAGATATATTTTATGTTTATACGTTCTTATTATAGATACAAACATTTAAGTAAATGGTCTGTTTATAATAAACAGTATTTAACAACATTTACCGGCCTGTAAAAATTTCTCAGACATTCAGGTCGATAAATGTTATTTAATACAGTTTATTATAAACTTAACATTTACTAAAATGTTTTCGACAATAAGAATGTATAAACATAAAATGTTTATATATATATATATATATATATATATATATATATATATATATATATATATATATATATATATATATATAAGTATTACCAATTTGTCACTGGTAACGATATTTACAAGGAGGATATTAATACAGGAGGAGCTCAATGTAGACCACAGAGTATAATAATAATAATAATAATAATAATAATAATAATAATAATAATCACGAAGAAAACCTTAAATGGTTATTTTGGTTAGAATTTATTTCGTGAATATCGAAGTATTCAGCTCTTCAGACCAAAATATCATATGAAATGGTTGCAATACCCCGGAGGAATATATTAGATTGATAAGGGCGGGAGGGGGCAGGGAAAACAAGAGAGAGGATATGAAAGAAAGAGTGTAGGGTGAAAACAAATACATTTAGAAAATTAACTACTCCCCGACATTTCTCTCCTTCTTCCTTCTCCCTTTATCTCATCTGTTTAAAAGAGCCTGGCCATCTGACATGTTCCCCTTTCACTCCCCAACTCTTACATGTTTTATTTTTACTTCATATTTTCTAATTTTTTTTTGTTTTATTCATCTGTATTTAAAATGCCTTCATTTATGTTTGATAGCATTTTCTATATTTTAATTTTTCTTTATTATTTGTATTAAGGACAATTTTATAGGACTAATTTGTAATTGGTGTCTTTTCTGCTGACAAAAACAATGGTCCATATCGGCCAATTTGCTGTATAATCCAATGTACAAAGTTCCAAATTTAAAGGAAAAAAAATTCTTGGTCGGGTCACTCTGTTTAGGCTTACTACTACCCATCAAACCATTCCTTCTTCCCTTTCTTTTCCATAACCACTCTCTATCTCATGTTTAAAATAGCCTGTTCATTCGTCGCTTTTCTCATTCTCCTCCTCCTCCCATATCTTATTTCTTGCTTTTCCTCCCCCTGTCAGTCTGATATATCCGTCTGGTGTATTGTCTCTATTTCCTAAGAGATTTTAGTATGAAGAGTTGAATATTTCGATATTCACGAAATAAATTATAATCAAAATGAATATTTAAGGTTTTCTTCGTGATTATTATTATTGTTATTATTAGACACGCAAGAGCACATATATGCAATAATAATAATAATAATAATAATAATGATGATAAACCGTACTTACTCCTTTTTCCGAATCAAAACATTCTTCCACTGGAACAGAAGGGGCAATATGGCGGCATATAACGGAAATGATCAATAACTGATGAACAAAATGATCCTGGAAAATGGCACGAGACGACGAACAAATCTTAGCGCAGTGTGGTTTGCTTATCGTAAAGCCTTTGATAGTGTGTCAGACTCTTGGATCCTTAAGATTATGGAAATGTAAAAATGCTCCCCTATGGTAGTAAATATCCTTAAGCACATCATGGGAATGTGGAACACCACACTATACCTAAATCACACCAGAGGCTTTGCAATTTCCAACAATCTTAATATCCGACGTGAATCTTTCAAGAATACTCCTTCTCACCCCTTCTGTTTGTTTGTCCTTAATCCCCCTTACGCATGACGTAAACAGCAGTAGGTATGCTTACAAACTAGACAAAAATTATTCAATCACCTACTCTACATGGGTGATCCCAAACTCTTTGCTTGAGACGACAATGAATATTGCAAAATGTTTCAATCACGACATAGGTATGGACTTCGGATTAGATGAATGTGTAAAATAACATTCAAGAAAAGGAGAATTACAGAAACACACTCAATAGATTTAGATTCTATCACAAAGATTAGCGAACTGGAAGATGTCGTCTACAAGTAACTAGAAATTAGCGAAGGAGATGGTATACAATATCCCCAAATGAAGGAGAAGGAAAGAAAGGAGTACTATATGAATGTGCGTCTGGTACTAAATACCGAGCTAAACTCAAAAAAAAAACCACCTTGGCGGTCCCTATGGTGCAATACAGATTTAATGTCCTTAAATGGATCATAGATTACATTAAGCGAATGGACGCCAAAATGAGAAAGCTCCTCACTTGCTAGAGCATGCATCATCCCAAAGATGATGTTGATCGACTGTATGTGCACAGATTCGAAAGAGGCAAAGGATTAGTTCAACTAGAAATGTCCTACAAACTACAACAATTAGCCTTCATATATGCGTGGTAACTACAGAAGACTGGTTGATATATGTCAAAAACATGAAAGTAGTAAGCCGCTTTATACCATAATAAAGGAAGTCAGCAACTTCAAAAGGGAGTTTGAAATGAGTGCTGAAATACAAGCACAATACACCGACTGAAGCTGCAAAATAATTAAAAAGAGAGAAAAGCAACCGACCAGATACAGACAAAATGGCAAGGTAAACCTCTAAAAACATGAACGCATCTTTATTCCGTAACAAAAGATGGCAACATGTTCAAAATGGAGATTCAAATGGATGCAGAAATACAAGGAAATCACAATACACTGACTGGATCTGCAAAATGCTTAAAAAAATAAAACAAAAGCCAGTGCAACGAACCCTATACAGAAACAATGGCAAGATAAACCGCTTCATGGCCAAAACAGACAAACCTCGCACACATCAATAGCTACGTAGTGCAGGGTTAAAAGCTGAAACCAATGTTTTTTTTTTGTTTTGTTTTTTATCCTTGTTGCACATGACTAATCCTAGGTAACTTGAAATTATCAAATACACATACTAAAATATTGTGTTAGCCGAAAATGCAGATTCTGTGATAGATATCCAGAAACAATTGCATATCTTGTATCAGGTTTCACGGTATTGGCACCCACTGAATATAAAACCCGGAATGACAGCGTTGACCAATATCGACACTGGAAAATCTGCAACTTCTACGAGAAGGAAACTGAAAGAAATTAGTACGAACCCCACACAGACTCGGTTAAGGTGATAGGGCCTGTTACAATTTTATGGTATTACACAAAACGCAGAGATAGATCAATCAAAGCTAACCGCCCAGACATTGTTATTCGAGACCGCAAAAAAAGTGCCTCCTTATTGATATGACAGTCCCTGCAGAGTGAAAACTATATTTGAAAATCTTCAAAACGCTATCAAATAATTACGACCTTGAAATCGAAATCTCGAAAATGTGGCACATGGGGAGAGCCACAATCCCTGTTGATGTTAGAGCCCTCGGATTGGTTGAAAAAGATTCCAGTAGACTAATTAAAGATATTCGTGGAAGCCCATGCCGTAAAGAAATAGAAAATGGTCTTCACGAGTACACCTCACACCTTTATTTATGTAAAATATGATCCTTTTTTTAATTGGACAGTGGAAAATGTAATGATGCCATTTCTTGACATTTGGTCTCTGGGCGTGACCCGGAAAGAATTGTGTACACACCAGAAATCAAAGGAAATAATAATAATAATAATAATAATATATATATATATATATATATATATATATATATATATATATATATATATATATATATATATATATATATAATGGTATATTTACTGAGTTAGTTGGGTGAAACACTTTGGTCCGAATTTACGGGACTCTCATTTTCTACATCAACCTCAATTAGAATTATTAAAATCATCGAAATTTTAACCTAATTTGTGATCTATCTATCTATCTATCAACATTTGTTTTTCATTTTTATCTCTTTTTCTTTCAGGATTTTTTAATATTGGTAGGTTTCTTTGATAATCTATTTGATTTTGTGACATTTCTCTTCTCTGTTCGACATAGTTTACAGTTTCCTGTGCTTTGTTAACATTTCATTTGTTTAATTATTTATTTCCAAGATAATCATAATAAATTTCAATTTCTGCCACCGAATTTAAATTTAAATAGAACATTTGGTGAAGACTTAGATAATAACCACAGCTAAATTCGTGCATTTTTATGCTCTGGCTTTCTCCGTGTTAAAATAACTCTAGACATATTTTTCTTCAACATATTAAAAATCCATTCATGCTTTAAATCAAGAAAAAGCCCGCAACCTCAGAACGTGAACATGACATTTTCGAATATGAATAATCCCCAAAAGCTATATTTTTCCATGCAGTTGACATATCTGTTTTCGTGTCTTTTCCATCTGCCATAAGTAAAAGCTCTTACCACCTCTAGTCTTGCAAAATCAAAGACACTGTCAAAAGTGTTGATGATTAAAATCACAAGTAACAGTCAATACAAAGTCTCTCATAAAGAACATCCCTCACATCTGAAGAACATTGGAAGAAACATAAATAATTCAAAAACAATATATTCACCGACGGTTTGTCTAAAAAAAAAAAAACCAACGGCGTAAAACATAGAAATGACATTGAAGCGTTTTTGATCATTTAGATCAGGGGTCGGCAACTCATTCGACATTGCGGGCATTATCGTGTTATAATGACGGTTCACGGGCCGGACGAAGGTCATTAATGAGAAATTAAAGAAAATTACATATGCAGACGCCTGTCAATCGAAATATTTAAAACTATAATGAAAATAAACATTGAGAAATCAGAAAAAACAAAAGAAAACTCAAATTTAAAGAAAAAAACATCTAACAAAAATTACTTTCCTCAAGGAACATCAAAATACTTCAAAGTGAAAAAAATCAACCGAAGTGAAATGGATGAAATTACGACGTGTAGGTTTGAAGCTGTTATTGAAAATTGTTCCACAAACGAACAACACACACACACATCAAACAAAAACGAAGCACATATACCCATACATACGAGTAGAAATAGTTGCAAACATATACACTTACGTACGTACACATGCGGAATCATCCACACATTCATGAGGCATGTATGTATAATGCGCGTATGTTTAACTGTCTTTTAGATTTCTGCTACCTCGCATGTCAGTCCCTCCCTGGCCTCTTTTCACTTTATCGTTCCTTTTTCGCTTCTGTTATCTTTTAATCTAGCCAAGGGTCATAACAAATATGTATCCATTATTTGACATTAAACGTAGGCAACGCAACTTTGTAAAATAAGTCTCATGAAAGATAACTGGCAGATAGTCTAATTCGAAAGCCTCGTTTCTCATGTTAAAAATAGAGACATTTATAATCATGCTCGCAGGCCGGTCAAAATGCCTTCGCGGGCCGTAGCTTGCCGACCCTTTATTTAAATGTTTATGAGAGAGCAAATATTTTATCAGGCGAAAGAATAATCGAAAATTTTAGCACATGACTAGAATATATTTCGAGAAATGGAAAAACAAAAGGGGAACTATACGGAAAATAACATCTCAAAAGTGAGGAATGTTGAGGAACACACCACGTTCTGGGGATTCATCAGCTTAGGTGATGCCTAAAAATAACGTTTACCATTTTTTTATTCAACTTAGTGTTTGTAGGGAATTCATCATCACAAAATTCAAAGACAGAGAATATACTGCGAAAATCATATTTAAATGGTTTTATTGTACAAGGCGATGTATATGGCCGTCAGCAAGTAAACAAACACAATTTCCTAATTAAATTTGGACAAGATTAAAAACACAAGACAATTCGAAGTATCGAGAATCAGGAAAATTCTGATAAAATAAAGTAAAGATCGCTAAATTGTTATAAGTACGTCTATATGGCATCGGATATTGAACACTCTCCTCACAGATGTTGAAGAGAAAGGAATGAACAGTGTGGCACCCTGCATTATTAGAAAAACTAAAAAGAAATATTCATAGAAATATGATTTAATTTTTATTCGGTTTATTAACCAGTTGTTAGTTATTTAGACGAAGAATAATTGAGTTTTGAGAATAATCCTCTAATTGTATTTAGGCGATCCTAAGGGAAGAAGAAGGAAAAAAAGGAAGAGGAAAAGAAAGAAAAAGAGAGGGAGAGATGGATAATGCAAAAGCCGGTCATAAGCGAAAACAGGTGTCAAGATATATCTAGGCCAACGCGCCTGACCGAATTTCACGAACAATAGAAATTGTTATTTGAAAGAATAAGTTTAGAGATAATAAAAGAAAGAAAGGGAACAGACATGGTACAAGTGAAAAGACATCAAAACGGACGATTAATAAAATCGGTCAAAACACCTGGCCTACTTTTGTGTCCGCGGAATGTGGAAGTTCATTATCAATTTGGAGAAATGGGATTTTTTAGAACAATGGAAAAAGAAATATTAATCGGGAAGGGGTGTCTTTGGGGTGAGAGGTGACCGCTGGAATTGTATACAGTTTGACCAGCTCTAGAGTTGAAGATAAGAACCCCCACAATTAGAAAGTGAAGATATTTTCAATTCAGATAATTAAGATTCTGGCTATCAGGCCTGAGCGAAAATAAAGGAATGAAAAACAATTGTTTTGGCTCACAGAAAGCGCCAGCAAGACGAGAAAAATTCTTCCTGAAGTCACATCTAATTAGCGGCGGGCTGTTTTGACAAAAGCCAAAAGGTGAGAAAGGCCGAGATTGTCATTTTCGTGCGTGCGAAAAAAAAAAGGCCAAATTGGATTTTTGTTTTTTTAGCAAGGTTTCTTCCCCAGAACAAAGCCCCCGGATAGGCCACGCCCGATTGGAGACGTCACGAAGTACGAGAGACGCCCAACCAGAATCTCATTAGCCGAGAGCGGTCACGTGATATGCGAGAAAGAGGAGAAAGGACGCTCGACCAGGACCCATTGGTCGAAAACGGTCACCTGACATACGAGAGACCGGGAGAGATGGTGCGCCTCCCCCAGAGGCACTGTGAGGAAGTAGGGGTGAGAGTAAGAGCGATAATGGGAAATCAGAACTAATGCGACTTTTGAATTATCAAGAAAACCCTGGCGCCGACAGACCCACCCCAGTTTGTTGCGGCGTCAATAAAGCAGGACCCCAATCGACAGAAATCAGAGTTGCGGGGTAGACGGCCAGAGTAGTTGGAGAGCGGACGGCGGGCCTTGTTCATTCGCCCTCAGGGGCAAAGAAGGGCCGGTCCGTTTGGCCCGGACAGGCAGAGAAGTTGCAGCGCTGAAGCCGAAGAAAGAAGTTAGAATTGCAGGCCAGACAGGCAGAAGAATTGCAGGCCAGACAGGCAGAAGAATTGCAGGCCAGATAGGCAGAAGAACTGCAGGCCAGACAGGCAGAAGTGTTGCAGGCCAGACAGGCAGAAGAATTGCAGGCCAGATAGGCAGAAGAATTGCAGGCCAGACAAGCAGAAGAGCTACAGGCCAGACAAGCGGAAGAATTGCAGGCCAGACAGGCAGAAGAGCTGCAGGCCAGACGAGCAGAAGAATTGCAGGCCAGACAGGCAGAAGAGCTGCAGGCCAGACAAGCAGAAGAATTGCAGGCCAGACAGGCAGAAGAATTGCAGGCCAGACAGGCAGAAGATTTTCAGGCCAGACAGGCAGAAGAGTTGCAGGCCAGACAGGCAGAAAAGTTGCAGGCCAAACAAGCAGAAGAGTTCCCCGGAAGGCAGAGAGAAGAGTCAGTCTCAGACGGCAGAGAGAAGAGTTCGGACCTTGGCGAGAAGAGTTGCAGGGCGGACGAAGAAGAAGTTACTTGCAGTTGCGCATAGAAGAAGTTGAAATCAAACCAAGCCTAAGAACAGAGATTCGTCCAACCCAAATCGAAGTGAAGAAATTCGTCCAACTCAAGCCGAAGTGAATAAGCTCGTCCAACTCAAGCCGAAGAGAAGAATCAGCCGTGAACGACTGGTAGAGATTAGCGCCCAGTGTCGAAACCAAACCACACTCCGACATGCAAAATTCTAGAGAGTAGGCAACTCGAAGTCTTTTAAATTGTATGGTAGAAGCTTGGTACCACAGTCCACAAAACGGGTCGGGAAGTAAGAATAATTTTATGTAACGAACATTAGATATAAAAAGGTTGTTACCCTTTTTTATCAGTAATTTTTGGCCTCGTGAGTTTTTCTTTTACTTGTGTGTTGCCACCCCGTCGAACTCAACTTGCATACGGCCCCAATCCCTGTTTGATCCCGTCTGTCTAAGATCTAATCACAACGTGGGTAGGCAGACCGAGATCAGTACAGTTACCCTAGTAACCAGGTGTTGGAAGCGAGTTGGGGAACGGCGAGGTTGGTAATCATCTAACCAAAGGGTTAGAGCGTCACACTTGGAGCAGCGAGGAGCGAACAGCTGACGCCGCGGCAAAAAACGTCACAACTGGTGCTGTCCGTGACAAGGATCGACCCTTGGGCGGCTACATCACGTCACGTCACAATTGGAGCCGCGAACGAGATCTAACGACAGAGTCGACGCTGCGACCAGGTGGGGGGCGACGTCACAACAGACAATGTGCTTCCACGGAAGGCTGATAAGAGTACAAAGGACTGATCAAGTGATTAACGTGGAAGTTTTAAGGAAAAAGCAAGCACAAAAGGACACATTTAGGACACATTAATGAGGAAAGATCACCTGGATAATACGTCTTACACAGGACGTATTGAATACAAAGCGAACAAGAAATTCTACTGCACAAACGTGTATAAAAAGGATCTTGATGGGTAGCGAAAAGGAAACGCGTTAACTCAAGCTATGGAAAATAAGACACAGTCCAGGGTGTGATGATTAATTAAACGGTATGTCACAGAGAAAAAGTTTAATTAAAGGAATAGCCTTCGGGTTCGTATGAACTAATTAAGATCATATAAATTCCTGATTCATAAATAGAATGTATCGAATTTGATATACTTATAAGATATTCTGTGTCGTATTATGGTACAACATAGTCGTTACAGTGTGAAGCTTTATGAAAGGTTACAGAAAAACTATCTCGGCATTTGAGAGATTTGAATGGAAATATAAAATTCACATGGAAATAGACAAATACATGAAATTCTCTCCTTTCATATCAATACAAGTGTTTAGTCTTTCCTTAAGCGTGAATATCATTTAATCAATTTCATTATTATTAAACGAACAAGAATTACAGATTAAGCGGTCAAATAACACTGCTTAAATCATTCAGTCTCTATTTATTTTGCTATCGCTGCATGCATTTTGTTTTAGTAAATTTCATCAAATACCAAAACTAAGAACCACTAAAGTTAGAGGGTTAATGACATGAAAATTAAATGAGGAAGAAGGGAGTGAAGATAACGAGAATATGACGGATAGATATGGATTGTCACTGAAATTGAATGATGTATGTAGTGTTCCTCGAATATCCACGTGGCTGATGGGAAGGGGAAATGGAACGCGCTTCTTACAAAAAATCTGCCTAAGAAATGAATGAAATTGAACCCTATGAATATAGCAAGGTGGGGTTTGAATCTCGTCTGAACATTTGCTATGGATGTAGTGATGAGCTTTCGATTTTCGGATTCTGGTATAATGGTCGCAGGATTGAATGTGCGTCAAGGTCGCGTAAACAATTATGAACTATGTCATTGTGTGAAAGTGTTTATTGAGCAGCTCCGGTTTGCATATGCAAGCTAATTCACTTTTTGTTTCATTTTACATTTGTAAATATGAAGCTTGACGGTATTTACTTATTTTTTGGGGCAGTATCAGAAACAAGAAGGCAAGTAGACTTATAGATAGATGCTCGAATTGAGAAATCAAAGAGCCGATTTCGAATTCCATTCCGCTTAATTGTATTCACTAACGCGTTTTGGAAAGGTATGTATCCTTCTCTTCACTTAAGCAATAGCAGAAAATTTGGGTGATATAGTCTTGGTTGGTAACCAGTCTAGAAGAAAAACGATGAATTCAAATAGCGTGGTCGACAACCAGTAGAGGAGAAAAAGAAATCTCTGAATTCATACCACATGCTGCCTTGTAGGTCTTTCCTTATTAGGCAAAGGCTAGATGACGACTTTAAAATATCGTCTCGAAGACAGGAACTGGCCCTAGCTTATTTGAGCTGTGACAAAAATAATGGATGTATTGTCCTTCGTACAATGGTTTGAACAACACTAGACGATGATAACGAAAAAGAAGGTCCAGACCATGTACCGATACATCATATATGTGAGAGACAGTCTGTACGTATATTTCCTCAGTTAGACTGATGTTTTGTTCATTGTCATTGATATAGAGTATAAGGGGAAAATGCCCAAGTCGCAATTTTATAAGTTTTATTTAAATAGTTTATATAAATTATTCAAATACTATAAAATTCGTTTCTCGTAATCTGATAAAATCAGCATATATCAGGAAAAATTCTTCGTCCGACCAGTAACTTCCAGGAACCATTGCATTATGCGTTTATATATATATATATATATATATATATATATATATATATATATATATATATATATATATATATATTATGTACGCATAACAGTGCGTTTAAACGCATAAGACAATGGTTCCTGAAAGTTATATATATATATATATGTATATATATATATGACGAAATATAGTTTTAAGGTGTGCTATATTTCTGGGATAAAGTGCTCAATATCAGAGATAGAGTGTATATAAATATAAATAAAAAAAAGTCAGCACTCAGAGGCGACAGGCTGTTTCATACTGACTCAATCATTAGGCGTGACGATTACGTCCAGCATCCTTCGCTATGGTACCGAGTTATTGAATTTCAGCGCAGCACTAGTCATGCGTCGAGATCTCACCAATTTACAGGTGACGTGGTTAGATGTGCTAAAAATTTCTTTTCTAACACTTCTCGCTTGTGGAACTCACTTCCGGCTCAATCCATTCCAGCCAACTTTGAAATGGAAATATTTATATCCAACATAAATAGATAACTACTTTCTTATTTATAACATTCTTCTCTTTCTGCTCTGCATTAATTTTTAGGTTCCAAATTCTTCCACGCCATGTAACCCGTAGTGTTGAGTGGCATTACAGTTTTTCTTCGGATGATTCCGATTTAAAATAAAAATAAATAATAAAAAAAATGTTATTGTACGTGAGATGGAATATGTGAAAATCAGTTGGGTGCTATTTTTTCTATTCTCTTGCCATCGGGGCAATCAATAAGAACATCAATAGAACAACTGAAAGAAAATAATGAAAAATCCTCGTGAAGTGTTTCTTCATATTTCCTTAATATCCTTAGGCGGTCAAGGTTTTACATTCTGAAAATAATGATGAAATATTGATACGAAATATCCGAACAAAGAATGGAATTCTGAAAATGGGAAAAACATTGGAATGTATGATTTTATATTCCAGTGTCAAAGTTTCACTCAATAAGAACATCATCAGAACTACTGAAAATCTTGAATATCTACGGATACTAAACTAGCACACACATACATATACACACACGTATACACATATGTGTGGGTCTCAGTGTCTATTAGAACATGTAAATGCTGCTCATGTGACGGTGGGTTTAACATCAATATCAAACTGAGATGGAAACGACGTGTCTATAACTTTGTATTACCTTGTATAAGTTAAATAAGAAAATAAACGAAATCACATAAAAAGTCAAGAAATGAGTTCGTTATCTAAAGGTAAAGCAATATATTTCCTATTAATCAACCAACAATCATTCAGTGATCGATGAGAACCATTAAGCAATCAATGGGAATCGACCTAAGCAAAAACTGAAAGCGCAGATTTGAAATCACTCTGCTTTCTTAACGTTCGTTAGGTTTTACTTAAAAAAGCAGGTCAGTTGAATCCTCTTCGGCTTCCTCAGGTGATTTTTTTTCAAATAACCTCAGATCGCTTGGGGATACCGAAAGGTTGAAACCAACCGATGTAGCGAATTCAAATGAACTCCTGATTTTTAAATTTAAAAGCTCTACGTGTTAATTTTACTTTTTTATTTTTTTCACACGTGTCTTGAACAATTTTCAATACTACTGCTTCTAGGTTTGATTCAAAATAGACAAAAGAATTTATATATATATATATATATATATATATATATATATATATATATATATATATATATATAATGTACAGTAAGCGATATCAGTAAGAAAACAGTGCTCGATATAATTATCAGTGCTAAAATTATACTACTAATAAATACATATCTTATTCTTCATCGTTTGTTATAATTATAATTATAATAATAATAATAATAATAATAATAATAATACCGGGGCACTGCCATATCCAACCGTCTGAATATCCGACGTGGAAACTTTCAAGGAGACTCTCTACACTCCTTCTGTTTTGTTTATCCTTAATCCCTCTTAACCATGAACTGAACAACAGTAGCTATGGTTACAAAATAAATAAGAAAATATTCAATCACCTACTCTACATGGATGATCTCAAACTCTTTGCCAAAGACGACAATGAGTTGAGAGGCCTCTTCAATATTGTAAAATACTTCAGTGACGACATAGGTATGGACTTCGGATTAGATAAATGTGCAAAAGTAACATTCAAGAAAGGTAGAATTATAGAAACACCCTTAATAGATTTCGATTTTGTGAGAAAGTTTAGGGAACTGGAGCATGATGAAGCTTATAAGTACCTATGAATTAGCGAAGGAGATGGCATACAACACCCCCAAATGAAGGAAAAAAATAAAGAAAAGAGTACTAGAGCATGTACTTCTGGTACTAAATACTGAGCTAAACTCAAAAAAAAAGAATATCAGCCATAAACACATTTAACA